TTTTGAACACTACATAAAAAGTGTGCACCAAGATTTGTATTATGCGACCTATAATGTCTTGTGGTATCTATAGTGTCAAAACTACTTGTAATAAATTATATATATAATTATATATATAAGTGCTTGGCGGTATACCGGTTCATACCGAATACCTGTGTTTATTTTTGTTATTATATGAATTTTTAAATACCGCAATACCGGTGTATGTCGCTTAAACAACGTTCGGAACGCAACACTGTTTGAAAGGGGTCACTTTTCACTGTTGCACTGTGGTGAGGAAACAGCTGTATGTGTTACTAAGCGTGAACGTTCCGAAACTGAAGCTGTAGAACTAATAGAACGTGATGACACAGAAGAACTCATTCACAATATCCACATTGACCGCCACAAATATCCACCGCCCCCTGCCATCAGCTGCCGCATCTCACACACACGAGCGCGACTTTAGCACTAGATTTAGCAACTTTCAGACCCTTTTAGCGGCTTTTTTCCATAGAATATTCATACTGACAAACCTAGTGACTTTTTTGGATAAACCTTAGCTATAGTTCGGTTGGAAGATTTCGCCAGTGCTGTCCCGTGAACGCGAGGTCTGACTTTCTCGGAGAAGTGTCACCTCTCTCGGCGTCTGTTCTGTGCAGTGAGTGGCAGAGAAGCAGCGCATTCAGTTGAGAAAATATGGTTAACACCCGGTCATGCATGAAAAAAAAATACTGTCATGTACCGTGAAACCGGTATAATTTTGAAAAATACCGTGATATAAATGTTTGGTCATACCGCCCAGCACTAATATATATATAATATAAATAATAATAATATATATATATATATATACATATATATATAAGGTTTGTCTTATAATGTCTTGTGGTATGTATAGTGTCAAAACTACTTGTAATAAATTATATATATATATATACTATCACAACAAAATTAACAATTCGCCTAACTCTCGCATTCTCTTTAAAACATTTTCCTCCCTCCTTTATCCTCCTCCTCCCCCTCAACAGACCCTCGTTTTCATCCTTCTCTCCACTCTCTGAGGCAGATGTCTCTAAACTCATCCTTTCCAATCATCCTACTACTTGTCCGCTTGATCCTATTCCATCTCATCTCCTTCAAGCCATTTCTCCTGCCGTTGTATCCTTCACACTGGTGTTTTTCCCTCAACATTTAAACAGGCTCGTATAACCCCACTTCTTAAGAAACCCACTCTTAACCCAACTCTTTTAGAGAACTACAGACCGGTTTCCCTTCTACCTTTCATTGCAAAAACACTTGAACGAGTTGTGTTCAACCAAGTCTCAGCCTTTCTCACACAGAACAACCTCCTGGACAGCAACCAATCTGGCTTCAGAAGTGGACATTCAACCGAGACTGCCTTGCTTTCAGTTGTTGAAGCCCTAAGACTGGCAAGAGCGGCTTCCAAATCTTCTATACTTATTTTGCTGGATCTGTCTGCTGCTTTTGATACGGTGAACCACCAGAGTCTCATGTCAACCCTATTGGAAAATGGCATCTCAGGAACCGCTAAGTTCTGTCATTCAGAAACATGGCTTTTCATATCACTCCTATGCTGATGACACTCAAC